CTATACATAACATGAAATGATGAAGTCATATACACATACTTATAATTTCTAGTTTGTGACTACTGGTACACATACTAGAAATTATAAATATATATGACTTTATCGTCATATATATAGCCGGATTTTAAGAAAATCCTGTATATAAATTCTTCATAATATGGTTAAAAAATATTGAACTTTAAAAAATGCATTTGATAAGGGATGAACAATACCTACATTCATTATTTCTGATCAGAATTTTAAAATAACGTTTGAGATTATTTTTTTTTATAAAAGAAGACAAATATCTCGAAAAAGTCGTTTGTGGTACAACTTGGATTACTTCGGAAACCCGACATATTGGTAAAATTTGACTTATGGCATCATTTTCAATATCTAAAAATCCATAAAAAACACTTTGTCTAGTTAAAGAAATTTTTAAAAAGCACATTTTTTTTTAAATTATAGTGTTTACTTTGTAATGTCATTTATAAATTAAGTTTAAATTTCAATTTAACTTGCGATCTAAAATCTAAATTCAATATATTTTAACAACCACGGTATGAAACAAAAAGAAAGTTTACACTCGACACCGATAAAATAGTTGTCGAAACAAATTTATTAATCTATAACACGCGATGTCGTGACAGCAATATAAGCTTAAAATAAAAATAAAGTGACATTACCACTCCTTGCATGTTCAAATTCAATTCCCTTAAACATAAAGTATCAAGATAGAGAAAAATTCTCCACGTTTTTTACGTTACCGTTTTATATAGAATCATTCCAGCACGCTTGTGAAAATCCTCTTTAGCTTATATCATCGAAACCTCATATATTTACGTCGATACCATAGAAATAAGTTCTCGAGTGATTATGAGACACGGCTAGAGTCATCGGACACCCCATATTTTTAGATCCTTCATCACGATCCTAGTAGTACTTGAATCACGCCGATACGACACAAAGGGACCTGAAGGGTGATGGGGTGAGGAGGGAGCTTGAAGCGATTGTGAGCTGGACGCGCGTTAGTCATTGATACATTTTAAAGCGAGCTGTGTATCGGATGACTCATATGTAATAATCGTCATCGACAGCTGATCCAGATGCGTTGTACGTTGTTCTGAGGCACACGCTCCCCCTCGATTAGACCACCTTCTCGTCGCACCCTTAAACGGAAGGGGGATGAAAAAGCGGTACAATGGAAAAAATACAGCAACCCCCGGCTTCAGAGAGCGATGACTAATTCATTAAGCTTTGAATTCAGCTTCATTTATTAACTCTAAACACTCCAAAACGTTTGCCCATATATTAAAATATGTATTTAAATGTTTTTTGAGATTATTATGTAATTTACATAAATTTATTATTGCTCTTATTATCTATATATAGATAATAAGAGCAATAATAAATCTATATGTAATCTCATAATTACTTTTAATATAATTGTTACAATATCAAATTTATTAAATTAATTTATTATATGTTCATTATATATTATAAAAGTTTAAATTTTATGTATATTATAATTTCTTCTGATTATTATTAATTATTATTAGATTGTTAATCAATATGGATTCGCATATCATTAAAAAAATATTTCTGTGTATGATCTTTTTATTATCTTCTATCCACATTCTCTTTTCTGTAACTTTGTAAATAGAATCGTATAACTTTAAAACTCTTCGTCTTAAAATACAAGTTATACTACGTAGTTCAGAAGTTGAAACAACTAGAACTAGAAAGATATAACCGTGAAATAATTGAAATGTCGGCTAGACTGACACTGCAGTAGTGATACATTTGCTGCAACTGTGTTTTATGCATACATATTTTAATAAAAAATGGCACAACATGTACATTTTACTATTTTTGAATAGTTAAAACGAATAGCTTTTAGCGATCGAATTCTTGTAATAAACTATTAGAAAGTGCTCGAATACAAAATACAATATTCCAAGATATGCGCGATCTTACAAACGGACGCAATCGTTCCGCTTCGTTCCTTTTAAGTCTTTATTCAAGCAATTTTTTAGCCTCTTTCCCGAGCGAAAGTCGAGTCGCAGCACGATGGAGGAGGTACGGAAGAGCGGACGCACCTGAAAGGGTTAAGGTCGTGGCGATAGGAAAATCTCGTAGCCAGTACAACTGACTCACATCTAAATATCTCGCAAGAGAACGAGAGACGCAACGGCGACAACGCAGGGGATACGTTATGCAATCGTGATTTTGACATATGGCTGTTCGTGCGCTTAGCCAGCGTAAACATGCCGTAGGGTCGATATACACGGTGACTCATGCCTTCAACGTCGCAGTCAGTTGTCGTCGTCGTCGTCGTAGTTGTCTGAGAAAAATGCGATCGGGACCGACCGGGAGACCAGACGCGCACATTAGCCTCGCCAAAATGAGCCACACGATGCTTTGGTCTCCTATATAGGCGGCCGCGAATCGTTACTAATTATGTAATAACCAGACACGAGTGACAAGAGTGACGTCTATAGATGTGCTCGTTGCTGAATAACGAAGAAAGAAATGTCTGTGAGAATAATAAAAAAAAATAAAATTGTCCATTATATTATTATTTTTTTTCCTTTTTTTTCCTGTCTTCAAATTTTATTATTATCGTGCCTTTAATTGGTTTGATAACTTTTATATTAAAATAATTTTGCGATTCTAATGGATTTCAGGAGGCGACAATTTAAAAAAAATGATGTAAAAATATAGATTTAAAATCTCTGTCTTTATAGCGTTAGATTCTTACGTGTTGATCCTTTATTTTGAGCATTGTGACGTGCTGTATATTTATATCCTTCAACTTTGGAAATTTTATCGCTGGAGCGTTGACGATACCGTTATCGCGAAGCCTATACGTTACGTCGCAGAAAATCACGTGGCCATATCTAGCGATGAGTATATACGTTAAATGTGGACTTAATATTTAATTCGACACGATTAGCGTGTAAACTCTGGACAAATCTGCCATAATGCTCCGCTATAATTCATCTCCCCCTGCGCGGCTTCGCGAAAATACGGCGAAAGCGCAGATCGCGGCGCGCAAAATCTGTCCGACTATTCGCGGCGTCATCTCCGACGTGAGTCACTCCTATGAATAGATCCCCACCTTTCGCCTTCGTACGCGCCGACGATGCGAGCACACGATGTCGTCGTCGTCGTCGTCGTCGTAGCCACGCGATCCATTCGAACGGATCTCTCCATCCGCGTTCTCTTCCTTCGAGGCCCTCTGAATCTTCAGTCCCCATTATCTCGCGACAAATTCCATTCACGTGGAAAATGATCAACGAGAACATGATTCACCACCCTCAGCAATCTTCCTAATTTTCACATTCGCGTAGCATAACATTTAGGTCTAGGAGTCTATTGTATAATAGATGAAGGTTGTATTTATCGTTGTCCGCTCGAATCTATCTAAATGTTATTTACGTGACAACGCAACTTTAAATGTCAATTGAGATTTTCCGTACAGAGACAACGTTTCCTTCGCTTTTCAATGGAATATGTTCTATTTAAGTCTAGTATTTTGCATGTAAATGGCCACTTGGATCTTTAAATTATGTTAAGACTATCTACGTCATTCTTAAATTCTCACGAACAGTTTTTACGTCAGAAGGACGCGCGCATCTAAAATAAAATTATGCCAATGCTGATTTATGAAAAAGAAGTGAAGTGGAAAATATGAAGCAGATAAAGGACAACCGGAGAGAAAAAGAAATGTAAAATAATATTAAATCACGATTATTTTCCTTCAGTAAATATCAGAGACTAAAAAAATTATCTTGCAAAAACACACAAGACGCGCGGTTATAAAAAAGTAAATTTAACCTTTCCGATACTGAATGTTGCTTTTTTAAACGGATTATTTTTGGCCATTCGTCTTCTTTCGTTTCAGCTTGAACAGCTCTTCGTAATAAAGCAAGATTTATGAAGAAAAAGAAGATTAATGATAAAAACGTGAAATTGACGGGAACTACAGAAGACACTTCTGAGAAATTTGATTTAATAATATTATATCACAAAAAAACGAAAAAGTGAAAGACTAGAGAGAGTTAATAGTATACAATATATAAATGCAAAAATGGTAGCGGAGAATGATCGACGTAAAAGTTTCGACGCGCGATTGGCGGCCGGCAGAAATATCGCGCTCGCATCATCGTTATTTCCGAAAACCAGAGACTCGACTCCCACGTCGAGGACCGGATAGACGACAAACAGTATGCTGTTTCGCGGCCGCTTCTCGCTTTTGTAAACAAATATCGCGTTATAAGAAAAAAAAGATGAAGGACAGGCCAGTGAAGATTGATTATCGGTAGTGGTTTGCGTGTAAAAAACATTGTGATAATTTGTCATAACTTTGTAAACCTCATTCTGATCAAAGAATCATTGTATCGCTAAATTTCAGGACTTTTAGATTATATTTCTCAATTATTTGTGTTAATATCCCTTTTAATAAATGCGGTTTACCAATTCAATTTATCGTATTATCTTATATATTAACAGATTTGAATCGTAAAACTTTTTAGCTCTGTGTATCATCGAACAATAATACGCGATATCTATTACTGTGTATCTTTAAAATAATACGTAATATCTACTGAAAAATTTGTCTAAGATGTATTGCTAATACGTGTGGGTCATCCATGCGTAGGATATCTTTGGATACCATTATCTTGCCACTATCAGTTGTACTATATTTGATAGCACAAGAATCATACTTAGCTAACAAATTAAATTACAGCCAATGTAATAGCAGTTGTATATAGAAATAACTAGTTTTCCATTCAAATATTCAGTTTCATTTTGTAATTTGCTTTCGGACAAGATAACATAAGTTTAAATAAATATGTATATTCGGTTTCTTTTTTAATTAAAACTTTTGTTCTTCAATGGAGGAATTCGGTGCAAAAAAATAATCGAGATTATTTGAGCACATCTCCATTTGTATAAATTTATAAATCAACATATTGATCAAAGATGTAAAAAGAAAAACATTAAAAAGTGCTCACCGATTAGCACAGCCGGCTCTCGATCGTCGTCCACGAGTGCAGCAAGTACCAGGAATAATGGATTCTGAGCGGTTAGATGCTCCAAGTTGTCGGTACCTTCGTCGTACACTATGACTTCCTTGAACTGTCTTTTCCTAAGCAGCTCTTTGCCCTCGCGAGCGGATGCGAGATCGGCGAGGGTGGCCTTCCCCAGCTGGAGTCTGCGTCGGTTGAAGCGATCCGAACAGGTGACGTTAATGGCACCGCGTACATGATTGACATTGTACAATGTAAACGGTCTGCAATCCAGAATCACTGGTGGAACGGCGGAGGATCGCTCAAGATGCACAAGACGTTGAGCAAGGTCGCCCGCGGTGATGACGCGAGTCTTGCTTAGCACTAATTGGCGATGAAGGCCGTTCTCGGAGCAGGGGCTGGTAGGCAGGCTGGCAGTCTCCAGTTTGCAACGCTTCGTAGTCACCGATAGATGCTGATGATGGTGAAAATGGTGGTGATGATGATGGTGATGGTAATGGAGATGATGGAAGCCACGACGGTGAACGTCGTCGTCTTCGTCGCCGTTCACCTCCTCGCTGATCACGATCGAGGGCGGTTCGGTGGGATTGTTGTTACTGTTGTTAACGATCGACGAAGTGGTCGGTGATGCTGGGAAGGCGCAGGGACTCGGTCCTGGCTCGCTCAGGCTGCGGTTCAGCACAAGCTTTAGATTGGCCCGAGGCCGGCCAGCCGATACTGGCTCGCAGCATAGCAAGGTAGACATCGAGGAGGACGATGGAATTCGGTCTTGAGGCCGATGGTCGTGCTGATTGTGTCCGCAGTGATGTTGGTGGTGATGGTGGTGGTGATTGTTGGAGCTCACGTCGATAGTGCTTACGTCGTGGCACGGTCCTGCGGTCGGCGCTGAAACGTTAACGATCGAGATATATCAGCAGTTTTTTTCACTCTTTTCTCCTTACGTCAGTTGATACAATAGACGCTCCATTCGCGCATTCCTTATTCGCGTATTTCTTGCGGATCGCCATTGGTTTCCACAAATTCGTATGTTCGCAAATATTAAAATAAATGTTAAGAAATAAAAATTATCTTTAATTATTAATTAGTTCTAAAAATAGGGTAATTTTTATGTAACAGCAAAATAAATATATATAAACAAACAATATTTTTACTTCTCTTCGTTATGATAAGTTAACCGGACCCTGTATGGCCTACCTAAGCTTTGTGATTTTATTCTAAATTTTACTAAATCCAAAATTAAAAACTGATACAAGATCAGATTCAACAGAGTTTAGCAAATAAGTTATAATCAATAATCTAAAATAACAAAAGTATACAAAAAAAATCGTTATATTCAGAGCTATACATATATAGTAATATAAATTATAAAAATTAATAATCATCTTTAAGTATAATTATAGAAAGCAACTAACTTACCTACAAAATATTACGTTACAACGTTTTGCATTTTGCTTTACTAATAATAGAATAAACAAATTGAGCAATAAACTGATACAATCAAGTCAAACGAACAGTCTTACTAAATTAACTTAAATTTACTGTAATTATCGACAAACAGCGAGTAGATTATAGTGCTAAGCTATATAAGGTCCAGTTATCTTATTTATTTTTATTAAAATTAATATTATCACGCTTTCATTTTCTATATTTGCAATTTATAGTTCACAATAATTTTGTAAAATTTCTAATGCTTTCTCAGGCTTTCTTGAATTATGTAAATTATAGATTAGAATTCAAAAAGTTCTGTTTTTTTTTTTACAACATGCTAAAAGTTAGTAATCTTATCTCTTGGCTGCAAATACTTAAAACTACGGAGGATAGTAATTGAATAAAATTAATAAATAAGTGTAAAGTTCAGTACGCCTCAGAATTAAAGTCTTCTAATTTCTCTATGCACAATATTTAAATAATTCGAAAATAGCTCCATACTCATATTTCAAGTATAGATTGCCATGTCTTCAAATTCTCGTATCCTTGCGTTCTTTTAGTCGGTTACAATTCTAATTTGGCAGTTGGATGTCGACCAATGTCCCAAGAGTTACGAAAGATCTGTTGTAAGCGACGATGTACTAACTTAGAAATTACGTGATACACCCGGGATTCGCTAGCATGCGATTTGTTTGTTTTTATAAATAACGCCGCGTACTTTACCCGCGTGTCGTTTCGTCTTAAATTCCTAGATCCTTGGACTTAGTCATTTACTAATTTTTGCTTTGATATCTTTTTTATAACTTCTTAAAATCCATATATCGAAAATAATCATATAAACTTACGAAAAGCACTTCCATTATACGCAAGTTGCTACGTCATTTGGATTTAAAAAGGAATTCTAATATCTGAATTCAATCTTTAAATTTCGAAAACATCAGATTATGATTCAATGATGAGATTTGTACTTTTGTTTACACGTTCATGTGATGTTTACTTCTCAATAAAATCGGATTTGTTCGTTAAATTCTAAAATATTAATAGAATTAGATCGAATCAAATGATACCTTGGTCAGAATCAACGGCCGATTAAACGGGAAACTATCGGTTACTCTTTCCCTCTCTCTTCCTCTCTCTCTTTCTCTCGCTCTCTCTCTCTCTCTCTCTCTCGCGACCACTCTCCCACTTCTCTTCCGCCATCGAAGTTTCTCTTCGGTCCCGAGAAGTCTTCGAGTTCGTTCTTTTGTATGAGTAAACGCTGTGGAATTCGACGCTTCGAGCAGCAAGTGGGACCCCGCGACTAGCGATGGGCCTGATACCTTCGCAGTACCTATCGATATCTTTCGCAAACGCGGTCGTACAAAGAGGTATTATCAAACGATCCGAGAAAATCGTTGAAGAGATACGTTTACTCACGAAACATCATTGACGGATATTTTAATTTGCACAAAATCAACATATAGAAACTTTCTAAGAAAAAAGTCTTTGAATATTGCAATTACTTTTTACAGACGTACATAAAGCGTACATAAAATTATTCAATAATAATAAAAATGAGAATACGAAATATATTTCGCTTCCTATAGTTTTAGCAAAAAAATTTCAATAGAGATTTAACTGAAGCGTGTTATTCATAAATAATTTAAAAAATTACAAATTAAAAGCTTTAAAATCCGAAAATAAATTATTTCATTTCCAAATAACTTCAATAAGAGAAAAATTAATTAAAAACTCAGTATATATTTTTTTGTTTATTTGAATGGTTTGTAACAATTTTTATTACATTAAGTATATACGCGGTATAATTTTCGTTATTACACGTTATAAGTTATAAACCATCTAAAAAATATTCGTGTTATTTATTAACGAAAAAAGTTTTTAAATTTTCTCGTTAATTTACTATTGATTTTTCTTCAATGAAAATTAAAAGATTAAGCTTTATATAAACAAGCTTTATAATCGTAACTTTACTATCCGCGATATACTACAAATCGCAAAGTATAATGAACGCGCTTACGCTAAGGGAAAGTCCGCCTCGCATTTTTTAAAGAGTTCGTCATTGAGAACTAACACGATATTCATGGAACGAGTTACGACGTAAATAAAGTAATTTATTTAGTCATACTGACTAAAATAAAAAGATAAAGAGATATTTGTTTGAAACTATCGCTACTCGCAACCTGACCGGAGCATTCAGCCTGCGGACAGGTGTAACACCGACACCTGCCATCGTACGGAACACGTCGCTCTGCATTCTCCCATTCACTTGAAAAAAACATGATAGTTTCTCCGGATTAATCTGGAATCTTTTATATATTCATCTCATTATTTCATCTTCAAGAATAATCGTAATATTTGCCGAATATTTTGGATTGCAGATATGGTAAGTTATATACTTGTACAAAGAGGATTTTTAAATGCATAAACTAAAAAAAGTTTAAGAATGCATGAATTTAAAAGTTTGCAAATTCAGAATTAAAACATAATCCAATATTTGAGAACACAGAACACTCTAACATCTATCTCGACTGCCACAACTGGATATAAACACTCGTCACTTAAAAAATTCAGTAATTTAAAAATACGTCTAAAATTCTAATTCTAATTTACATTTTAATTTAAACAATAGTAGACCATAAGCAGATCGGTTAGATTTCTCATTTACATCATCACTATTATAATCCTGATCTACATTCGGTAACAATTAACTAACACAACTAATTAAAATATCCGGTTCATTTGCAAACAATTAAAAATACAATTATTCTAGTTATATATTTTTTATGCTTAACATAAAATGTAAATTTTTATTATCTAAAATTTTCTAGCATTTCAAATAACTTATTTTAATTAGATACCAAAGGACTTTAGAAGCAGCAAAATTCAAATAGCACAGATAACGATTGCAGTTAAATTTACAAAAAGAAACAGAATTTTTTAAAAACAATTTCTATAAAATTGCCTCTTACTGAAAGTGTAAAAGTTCAGGAAAACTATTTGTACAAAACTCATAAACACGTATCGGAATCAAATATTACGAATTTAAAAAGTCCTACGAAAAGTTCAAGATCCAAAGATATAAAAGCTTAAGAATAGTGAAAAAATGAATTTTCCCCTTTCGTATTAAAAAAACATCTATGTAACACGAGCAATTTATAGAGACTCATGGAAAATATCCGAAGATACAGCTCAATTAAACGCCCACGTAGAAATAGAACAATCTAAAGCTCGAGGCATCCCAAGTGTTTTAATTCCCGACTTACACCATCAAAGGCGTTATAAATCAAAAGATATACAAACGCATTTCAATTGCAAAACAGCAATATACAAATCCAGGAAATGCAAGAAACACACGCATCCCAATCGAAAACCTACGTCATGTAGGCGCTAGGTGATTGGAAAACTCGAAGAATCACGATTACACACCTTGCATCTACATATCCAGAAACCGAGAAGTCCGGTCCGATGGCTAGAAATCCAGCGACAGTGCTCCAAGCAGTAGTTCTAGTTCTCGGTCTACACGTTCCGGAAGAGACCCGTGGAATATTACATTCGAAAGAACAGCCCCCCGGTTACGCACTCCCGACACGATACCATCCGCGAGTGTGCGATCTTATCGAGGATTAAGGAACCGGGAGAGAAGAGGGAGGATAAGGAAGGGTGAAACGTGGTGAGACAAACCGTCGGACTGACGTCACGGGTCTCAAGAGAGCGCGATCACGCGGACCCGGGGGGCCCCGCGATGCTCACGTCGGGCCAGCATGTTCCCTGCGGGAACGGCAATGCGCGAGGTGTACGGTACACGGGAGATCTACAGCCGCGGGAGAGCGATCAATGCGGGATCCCCTGCCAACGGCCGGCGAGTGAAGACTGAGGAGAAGCCTGGCTCGCCGCTAAAACGCGGCGACGACGGCAACGACGACGACGAGTTCGCCGGCGACGAGGAGAGCGGAGAACATTCGAGGAGAGTGGAGAACGCTGCCGGCGCGGCGGAGGACGGGGGTCACCGCCGGAGCTCTGCGCAGGAGCGTAATTTAACCCCTCATACCAAACGCACATCGCAATACGTGTTTTTAACCTTTGGAGCGCTAGTTTTTTTTCCCGGAGAAAAAAAACAATATTATAAATACGATATTTCGTAAAAAGGTAATTGCGATCCTATATCTGTATCCTTTCGTTGACTGTATTATACGACACCGCGTCTGTTTCGAAATTTCCGCGAGAAGAAAGCTCGTAAAAAAATTCCGTTTTTGTTCAACGAGAAAGATCGTTTATGTATAATATTTACAGAAGAAGTACGATTTGTTATACAAAAAAAATTCATAATATTCTATTTATTAAAAATAATATACTTTGAAACATTTTTCTGAATTATTATTTTAAATACGAGGTTAAACTACTATTCGTCATTTTATATATTTGTTCTCTTATTCTATTTTCTCTATTGAAAGTATGAGAAACAGTACTGCGTGATTTCCCCTTCAGGGAAGAAACTTTTTTAAAAACTTTTGATGGAAAATACCTGTTTTGACAGAATTTTGCTATTATAAGTTGGTATATCCATGAAAACTAAAAATCACATTTGTAATAAAGTTTTCAATCGATTCCTCCACTTAAACCCGTAGTGAATAAAACTCTGATTGAGTAAGATAATTAAAAATTTGTTAAGTTATTCAGAAAACGAAAAAAATTTATATTAATATATTATTTGTATATTCGAGTAATATACTCGTAAAAAATATAAAGTACAAAATTTAATTTTAATTTAAGTTTCATTTCACAATTTAAATCATCTTTCTATTTCACCTTTAATTTCAGATTTGATTCATATTCTAAAAAAAATTTGCGTATAAATTTTAAATTTAAAATCAATTTTCTGTGTTAAGATCTTAATTAGAAAATCTATTAGCAATGATTAAAAAAACTGTACTGGAACTTTTATTTTTGTTATATTTCCATTTCATTTGTATTTCAATTTAATATTATCGTTAATTTTCGATATGACCTTCACATATCTTAATATAGTTCACAATTGACTCTTAGATTCTCGTATCTGTAACATCCTTATTACGTCCTGTGAATGCAGGATCCTCGTAAATTTTCGAGTTTCAAGCTTCTCGTAAATGTGTCACGTAATCCGTAAAGTAAAAGTCTCTCGTATCTTAGAACTGCTCAATCCAGATTCTTCCGACTCATATAATATACACTCGTATATGCAATATTGACTATCGGCAATAACGAAAAAAAAAAAAAAAAAGGAAGTTCTGCGCCATCGTGCGTGCAACGCGCAACGCGCGCGCGATGACTCATCCGTTGACGGCGCAAGCACACGCGCTTTACGTGTGTATGCACACGCACGTATTGTATACACTTGTATGTACGTTCACGACCGGTGTCTCGAGATATACATTACGCCACAGCGACACTGCCGTACCGAGAAAAGAGTTGCTGGCGCACGCTCGATCGATGTCAGTCTCGGTATTTTGAATATTAATAGTATCACTAAGATCGCGCGTGAGAACTATAGCAATGGAGCGTAAAGAGACTTCCATGATCGATAATACAATATTAATCGCCAACGTCTTAAATATTAATACCGAATAGTCTCACAGGGTTCTTCATCGCGTCAGCATCTTTCTGTTTCTAACGATTTTTCGCCGATATTTAACTCAAAAAAAGCACGTAGTGCTTTTCACTTTGATATTTCTCTGAATTAACGTACAATTATAACCAAGAGAGTTGAGAGATTTTGAAGCGTTTCATGTACAAAAGGAGAGACGGAAAAGTGTTATTCAAGCAGATGTGATTAAAGAGAATTTCTTCTCAGGTAATTTCGTATCAGAATTTATATTGTGCATTGTATTTGCTCAGTGACAATCGGTGCACAGGCTTGCGTAAATAAGTGATACGATCTACAATGTGTCGTCAAACGAACATATTATAAATTTAAGAATCAATTAAATTTAGAAATAAGTAGTACAAAACAAACCATTATTCTGAATTCCGCGCGCGTAAAGAATTTCAAGATTCAATAAAAATTGAAGTATTGAAACACAAAATTTCAAATATTTCTTAATGATATAATTTTTTTTCGTCTATTATATGTATCACATATAATATGTCAAATTAAACTTTTGAAAAATCACGCATATAAAAACATTTTCTTTTACCAGTTACGAGCCAAAATTAGCACAAAAGATGGTCAATGTCAATTTCGTGCTCTTCGACGAAAAAAGTAATCGTAGAAAATACATCAGAGTAAACTAGAAAGATAAAAAAAGCTGTTTAAATAGGGAGAACGATCTAAAAGTATTATAGGACTGAAGTATGAATAATTACGAATAGTGTAAAGAAGTAGCTTATTTTACCGTGTATCATACAGTTTCTCGGTTTCGCTCGATAAATGTAAATCAATTATTCGTCAATTATGTACTTCGGATAATCAACATTGTGTAGCACTTGTTGACGTTAATCAACTGCTTTATTTCGGTACGCGCGATAATTTTGTCACGCAAACGAGACAACTTTTTCGTATGTTATGTGTGTGCAAGCTGATAAAAAAAGTCAAGAGCAATCATTAACACATATGTATTGTTTTCTCAGGTGAATCCGCGACAAATTTCATTTATGTAATAGCTATTTAACTTTTTTTTTTATCTCAGCAGCCTCACTTAGACATGCGTGCTCTCGATCTTCTCCAAAGAGGGAATGGAGCGTCGGATGTCTGTTTAATGTAATTAATCGGTGTGTTCTCTTAGAGGTTCCCATTAATCTGACCAAGAGAGATAAGATTGCTAGCGTTATATGATGGCATTGACGCTTTCGTACTCGCATGATAACTGTTTCTGAAAATTTAATCAACTATTCCGCGACGCCTATGCAACGCACGCTCTCTCTCTCTCTCTCTCTCAACAAAAAAAAAAGATTATTCCTAAATAAACGATGAAATCACTTTCATTAATTTCTGACGCAAATTCATATCTCGTTATTTATGTTCCTTCTTCTCACAATAATTCATTTGACGTCATATTACAATTTAAAAATTCACAAAATCTAGAAGATTTATAACGGTGTTGACGCTAAATTCCTAAAAATATGAAAATATGTTTCGTATCATTTTGAGTGAAGCAGCTTGAAGGATTCAAAATGAAAAATTGCACACAAACGTCCAAATGATAACTCTCAGAAAATATATAAAAGGAGGACTCCAAAACATAATATAAAAATGCTCTCTTTTTGAAAAAGCAAGATTTCACGATTGTAAAGTTTGAAACATCGAAGATGCAGCGAAAAAGAGATAGGAAAGTTTAAGAATTCGAGAATTTAGGGACTCAAGAACATCTAGAAAATCTAAGAATCCAGAAATTTAAGGGTCCAGCCCTCCCCGGAAAGTTCCGCGCACGCAAGTACGTTCGCTTGTGTTCGTGCGTATATTCATCTACTCCGTCCACCAAAGATAGAGTCTGACATCATACACACGGGCATCAGTCGGGTCGAACGAGCGATAAACATATGTACTCGCACACGGTGTCCTCGTATGCGGAAGATTCCAGTTTATCACTTGTACAACTGCCTTGATCGATCGATGCACCCACCGATGCCGCAGGGCGTGTGATTCTGCTCTTTCTCTTATTTCTCTTCATATCTCAACGACTGTGTTTGCTACGCGCTTCCGCCGACATGCCGAGGAAGCACAAATTTTCAGTTATAATTATAAAAACGTAACTAACATAACTATGTAGTGCTGAAATTTTGGCGCGTATCTTACTCGTTAATCTTTTTACGAATTCTTAGATGAGAACGAGATGACATTGACGACAAGCACGTAAACAGTTTGGTAACTACGAACGTTCTCGCGCGACTCGAAAATAACATTCGTGTAGATCCAAAGATTTACAGACTAGAAAGACTTCCAAAGATATAAAGACGCTGATATGAAGACCGAATATTCTGGCTCTGAAATTCGAAGACTTGTTATGATTTCAAAAAGGCGGCGATGTATTCAACGATGAATAACGCTAATTAGGAATCACCCCGACAGTCATATCAGTTATCTCAAGTCATGTCATTAAAAACGGAAAAATAAGCGAAACAGTGCCTTGAAACGGTTTTTCCTCAATGAAACTATTGTAGTCAGATAAAATAAACTTGCTTGGAACGCTCTAGAAATCTTATCATTAAATCTACATGTACTATATTCTTTATGACGTAAAACTATATGAAAAAGATAAAATAATTTCAAGATATATATTTTATAACTTTTACCTTTTTTTTTTTAAATAAAAGTATAACTTTATCTCCTGAATTTTCTCTAATTTTTTTACAGTCTCTTTAATGTATCTTACAAACCTTTCCTGTTGAGATGCGATGTTCTCGTTAGCTCTTGAGAGAAAATTTAATTGTTACGCTTGTGTTGATTGTTTATTTAAGTAATGATTGTACCAGCAAACGTAAAAGTTAAACGCCCTGATTTCTTGACTTTTCTCGAGTCTCGAGTACGTATCGCCTCGAGGGTTTATTGTTTACCGAGAATAATGGCGATTTACACGAGCTCGG